CTCCCTCCTCCCTCCTCCCTCCTCCCTCCTCCAGCTGCCGTTCCGGCTGCGAGGTCCTTTTCAGCACACTAGGTGCTGCTGCAGGACCCCGTCCATCGGGACAGCTGCCATGCGCGCCGGCCGCCGCTTTCGCTCCTGGCATGCTCCGGCTGGCCGCGCTCACGAGGCAGATCCGGGACCCTCCCCGAGGCTCATACGCGCTGTTTTTCGGCGACTGGGCTATTGTGCGCGCGTGGGCCGTGCGCCTTGGATCAAGGACGTCGCGTACTCGGCCAAGCAGTGCTTGCACTCGGACGCCGACATCACCTTGGCCTCTGTCAATGCCCCAGCGGTTCCGCCTGGCATCTGGCAGCCACCAGATTTCGCGCCCGAGGCCCCTGCGATGCAGTTGGACACGCTGCTCACGGCTCTCGGCGTCGTTGCGCCCGCTGTCGAAGCGGTTGTGCTCAAGGGGATGAACAAGCACGCAGGCCCTCCAGAAGCTGCTGGCAGCTTGTCTGGTGGTGCGGAGGTGGGCATGCGCCCTGCCGCAGCAGCCCCCACCTCGCCCGACGTGCCGCAGCCGCAGCCGACAATTTCGTCACGATCTGGAGAGCGCCACAGGATCTGCCAGCGAAGGATCTCGGACATTCTCTCGCAGTACGACCCCGACTCTTTGTTCAGGATCGACTCCTGGCTGACCAAGTACAAGGGCTCGGAGGACATGCTCGATGTCAAGGTGTGCAAGAGGTACGATGTCCGGCCGTCTCCTCTCTATGAGGGTCGCCCTCCTGATTAGATCTGTCTTGCCCTTAGTTCCGAGTGTAGCTGAGTGGCGCGTAGCGTTTGTGCAAGCTCTCTCGTCGTGGGGCGCCCCCATTCGCTCTCCCCGTGGGCTCTTTTTGCTTGTGCCCCCCACCCGGCACCTCTCATCTGGTACTTTTGTTTGATGCTCTGCCCCCCCCCCCAGGTGGCCTTCCAGTGTCAATCGGAGCACGCCTCGTGCCAAGCCCCTCGTTGCACACACCTCCTCCTCCTCTCCTCCCTCCTCCTCCTCCTCCTCCTCCCTCCTCCTCCCTCCTCCCTCCTCCCTCCTCCCTCCTCCGTCCTCCTCCTCCCTCCTCCCTCCTCCCTCCTCAGGGAGGGCAATGGAAGGAGGAGGAGCAGGAGGAGGAGGAGGAGGAGAAGAAGAAGAAGAAGAGGAGGAGGAGCAGCAGCAAGACGGCCATGTACCCTGCTCGCCAGCCCTCCTGCAAAGGCATGGCGGAGCCGCACCCATCCGGCAAGGGGGGCCGACCACCCAAAAAAGGCACGCGGGCATCGTGCAGGCGTACCCGGCTGGCCGACTCCAGAAACCCTGGATCCAAAAATACTGACGTCTCGCGATTATTTCCGCCGCCCTCAGCCGACCGTCCGCCGGCGCTACTACCTTGAATCGTCACGGTGGAGGTCTTGCGGTGGGCCCGCCTAGAAACAGCGGATACCTCGGCGCTGCTCGCACTACAAGAAGACTCAGTAGGGGCGATCAAAGGTTACCCCAAGCAGAAAGAAGCCAAACATTCACCAGGATCCACTCAGCCCCAAAAGCGCACGTATTCTGAAGACGCTCCTGGGAGCCTGTCGTAATCACCTGAGTGGCCGCAGTGCCTCCTGCAGAGGCTACCAGGGGCCCTCCGCGAGCCTCGAGCGGCCTCCAGTGGCACCTCCAGGGGGGCCCTGCGGCCTCTGGTGGCACCTCCAGTGCTCCTCTGTGGCCTCCAGCGACGCCAGCAGAGGGCTGCGGACCACTGGAGGCACAGGAGGGCCAGACGGAGTGACAAGAGAAGGCTCCCAAAACTCGCCTTCGGAACACGCGCCCTCAAACGCCCCTCCCCTGCGGGGGCGGCACGACGAGGACAACCGCCGAGGAGCCCTCTAGCCTCGCTGGCCTCCCTTTTTTGATCGCTACTCCCATTGCCTCGGAAAGTTCGCGGGGGCGACAGAAGAATCGCTCAAAACCGCGCGGCGCGACCCGAGGTTGGTCGGAGGTCTTCGTCGGAAGGATTGGGGAGGATTGGGCCCCATTGGGGGGCTGCTATGGGGGATTAGGCCGCAGATCAAGCGGGACTAAGCCGGATCAAGCGGGCTTAAGCCCGACTGAGCAGGATTAGGCCGGATTAAACGGGATCAAGCCAGATTGAGCCGGATTCTGGACCAGGGAAAGTCAGAACTTGACCTCCCAGGAGTTGCATCCGAAAGACACACCCCATCCGCCCGACCCAATACCCATCGGTCGGAAGAAGGAGGTAGAAACATGAAATAGGAAGGCTTTGGAAATATGTTGAGTGTCCGCCCGCCCCCTGAAGAGGACGGAAAAGGTGAAGCCACTCGATCATTGAAGTAGTAAGGCGCTTTAAAAAGACTGGAAGATGGGAATCCAAAAGTACTTACTTTGAACGACCGGTGGGCAATTTGCTTTCTGACCCGAGGCATGTGCGTGGAAGGGTGGAGGTCATGGGACGTGTTCAAAGAAGACCTTCTCGGCCTGCGATGAATCAGGTCCAACGAGCGGTCGGGCCAACGGCGGGACGTGCACCATGTAGACCTTCAAGCGGCGCGGCGGAGGCCAGGCTCAGTTGAAACAAGAACCCGATGCCTGGGAATCTAACAGATATCATGGCCCCAGCCAAGGTATCCGCCCCGCCAAGTCCTCACCCTCTTCTTGGACGCACCCGATTTTTGGAGCGCGCCAATTCTCGTCCATGTGAAATCCTCCCAAATCGGACCCGAGCAGGTGGGGCCAGAGGATCGCGCCGAGTCGCCAATGCACCCCCGATGCATCGGTGATGCATCGGCGACGTCGGCGGCGGATCAACGACGTCGGCGCAAAAAACCTGGCTCCACATCGAGCCGCATTCCAGATGCATCGGCGATGCGGCGTGATCATCCGACCTCCGATCCCATCTGCTCTGGCCCCGTGTGGGCGGCCGGGACCAGAAGAGCGCAGGCCGAGAGCACGAGACCCACTCGCCAGAGGCCCCACAGAACCGAACCCACACGGAGCGCACCCGGGCCCGAGCACGAAGGACAGAAGGAGACCCCGCCATAGCTGGGGCTGCTCGTAACCCTCGCTCTGGACGCCCGGCAACACGTGTTGCCCCGAACCAGCAGCTGCCGCTGTTTTGGGCAGGCGGCCGTCTGTCTCGAATGGACACAGGCCGCGGCGGCCTGGACAGCGAGTCCTGCTCAAATGGAGCAGGAACTGCTGTTGGGCACTGTGCCCATTCTTCACGCACCCATTTCGTTCGCGCCGACTCGCGCCCCCTGTCTGCCCGTGACCGCCCACGCCGTGCGCTAAGCCGGCCTCCCCAGCAAGGCGCTGAGCTCGCGGCGCCGCGCGAGTGCTCTTGTTCCTGCCGGTGTCCCACCCCACCCCCACCACCCAGGCGCGCCGCGCCTGCCTGTGCGTCATTCGCCGCCCTGCCGCGAAGCGCAGGGCGAAGGGCCTCCCACACGGGCTCCGAGCAGATTGGGTCGGAGGGTCGCGCCGCACCGCCGAGGTATCACGGAGGATCGCGCCGCATCGCCAGAGGTCATCGCTAGGCTATGGCCCCTCCTGGAGATGCTATGAGTACGCCGTGCGCTGAGCCGGCCTCCCCGGCAAGGCGCTGAGCTCCCCGCGTCCTCCCGCAGCTGCCGCAGCCGCGCCCCGAGCCCCGCCCGCCGGGCCGCCGCCGCCGCCGCGGGCGCCGGCGCCCGCGGCGGCGCCGCCTCTGCGCCGGGGCTCTTCCGGCCTCGGGGAGAAGGGGCACGAGGACGGTGAAGGAGGAGGGCGAGAAGGAGAAGGAGGAGGAGGAGGAGGAGGAGGAGGTGGAGGGACCCAGGTACAGTCGGGCCCAGGACAGAAGAATATGCTTCAAGAACATGAGACCTCCACCGGCCAGCACACAGAACAGCCAGGGGTGCCCTCCCCTGGATGCACAAGAACACCCCACAAGCACGAAGAACATCAAGGCACCCTCCTCGAACCGACCTCGACCATATTAACACCTCGGGCCAACCGTATGCGATGTCTTGACAGCTTCAATTCGGGGTCCGCAGAAGTCTCGACCCTCTCCCCTGGACCGGTGTTGCACCCCGAGTCTTCTCTTGACGGTCCATGGTAAGGGCCTCTGGAGGCCGACAACAGCGAAGCACCTCCCGTCCTGATGTTGCTCGCGACGCGAGCTCGCCTGGGAGCCTGGCATCCTCTGACATCCTCGCGTCGTGGTGGAGCACGGCGGGGGGCTTTGGCTGGCCTCGTGGGGCCCCGGTGCTCAGCCCTGGGGCCGTGCGAGAGAACGGCTCGGGATGAGGAGCCGGTCCCGGGGAGGAGGTCTGGACCTCTGGGGGCGGGGCGGGGAGCGTCGCGGCATCGGCCGCGACGCTCCCCTCCTCCTCCTCCCCCTCCTCCTCCTCCTCCTCCTCCTCCTCCTCCTCCTCCTCATCCTCCTCCTCGAAGGTGTGGCGAGGAAGCCGGCGAGAGAGAGGAGGCAGAAGGCGTGGCGAGGGAGCAGCCGAGAGGCGAAGGGGAGGAAGGCGTGGTGAGAAAGTCACCAGGAGAGGAGGGAAAGAGGGAACAGGGAGTGGAGGGAGAGGAAGAGAGCAATGGAGGAGGGGGGTGCGGCGAGGAAGCCGACGAGAGAGAAGAGGCAGTGGGTGCGGCGAGGAGGCCAGCGGGCGAGGCAGGGAGCCAAAGAGGAAGAGGGTGGCGGCGCAGCTGACGAGATCGAAGGGAGAGAGCTCGCGGCAAGAGCGAGGAGGAGAGGGATGTGGAGGCCTCCCAGATGGATCAGAAACAGATGGGCCAGACGGTCGCAAAGCATCGCAGATGTATCGGCGATGCCTCGGCGACGTCGGGATGAAGAGAATCCAGCCGAAGACCCCTTCGCCTCGCTGGTGCATCGGCGCCCCCGCTGGGAATGCATGAAAGGAGCGGGGGAGCACAGAACAGGAAGGGAGCGACGAGGAGGAGGAGGGAGAGATCTTGAGCGCCATCCGTGCTACTCGGTGCGCTCGTAGTCGCCGCTCTTGCCACCGGATTTGCTGAGAAGCCTCAAATCCGAGATCACGATGCCCTTGCTGATGGGCTTGCACATGTCGTAGATACACAGGGCTGCGGCCGCCGCTGCCGTCAGGCTCTCCATCTCTACGCCAGTGGGGCCATCGCAGGAGACGTCGGCAACCACCTCCACGCGGCCAGCACTGGCGTCCAGGCGGCACTCCACGACGGCCCGCCGAAGAGGCAGCGGGTGGCAGAGTGGCAGGATGTCGGGCGTGCGCTTGGCGGCCATGATGCCGGCAACCTCGCTTTGAGGGCGGCCGGGGGGTCTGTTCCCAGACCCCCCTCCTGGGGTCGAAAGTGACCAGCTTTTTCCGAGCCGCGTGCAGCCCTGCCGACGAGGGGGTCCCAGATCCACTGGTTCTCCTGGCGAAGCGGGGAACACGAGGCAGGGGCAGCGGTATCAACACCTCCTCTTCCTCTGATCTACTTGCTGGAGCCAGTGTTGGAGGCCTGGAAATTGGCACCAACACCAACACAGGGGGTTGCCTCCACAGGGGGAGGATGATCCTAGATTTTCGGTGTTGGTGGTAATAGTTCGGCCACCTTGGAAGCCAGAGTATTACCACCATCACCGAGATCGGGATCTTCTTCCCTCGGTGGAGGCACACCGCCGAAATTGGTGTTGGTGTCAATCTCTAGGCCTGCGACAGTGCTGGCCCCCCCCCGCCCACGAATTGGCCGGCTCCAAAAACCTCGCTCACCGTGAACACGTCTCCCTTCGCGACCCTGCCGTCCGCGATGGCCCGGGCGACCTCCTCGCCCACCTCCACCACGCAGGCGGCGCGGGCGGTGCGCCTGGTGGTCGCCTTGCCCGACACGTCGACCATCTGCGACCGCCGCGGCGCCTGCTGCGGGCTGCCTAGAAGCCAGGATCGGGACGACTAAACATCCAGATAAACCGAGGCTAGCTGAGATACGGCGGCTCCGTCCTCCCGGGACGCTCTGGGAGCGTCCCAGAACGACCTGGAGCGATCCATCCCGACCTGGAGCGTTATCCTCCGAGCGTGCGTTTCACCGAGATGCCGTCAAGCGAATGGCATGGCATTTCATCCCCCCGCCCCCCAACCTCGGCGGTGGACAAACCTCCCTTCAGTAGACCTCCCTTTAGTGAAAACGGCCTGGGACCGAAACCGACGGACCTGGACCCGCAAAAATGACGGCCGCGACGCCCTCTCGCGAACCGAAAACGAAAACGGTCAACTCGCTAATCGGCGTGTCAGGGTAGGAGGCCTGTCCACCCCTGGCAGCCCCCCTCCGCCGCCATCTCAAACAGCGTTGGGCCAAAAGGGCGTGTGCGAGCGAGTCCTGGCTTGCGTGAAGCCCCGATTTTTTCTTTCGGGCCTCGCCGCGTCCACCCTTTCCGTGCAGGCAAGCCTGCCGCAGCCCAAGAAAAACGGCCCAGAGTAACCCAAAACGGCACAGACCTAATGTCTCGAGCCCCCTCAAGACGCTTTACCAGAGGACTGACGATATGCATGACGTGTTTTCCAACAAGCAAGGGCATTCTGAGAAAATACGGTACGCTAGACCAATGGCCAAGAACACACATCTCAAATATTATTATTCTCGGACGTGCGCGCGGAATTCTCGGATCGGCGCTGGGCCCCCCTTCCTGGCGCGCGGCGCGCGCCAGGAGCAGCGCCAGAGGCACCGCCATGGGGGCCCAAGCGCCGATCCAAGACATCCGCACAGACCTCCGAAGCATTATGTCTACGCCGATCCCCAATTAGGCTTACCTAAAAGGTTCCTCCTTGGTGAAAGGTTGGCGCCTACGAATGTGACGTTGCAAGTTGTTCGGTTCCTCGGGTTCCCCATGTTCCTCGGGCTCTCCGCCCCTAGCGCCTCCTATTACTACGCTGCCCGTTGCTCGGAGGCTCCTCGGGTTCCCTGGGTTCATCGGGTTCCCCCGCCCCCGGCGCCTCCTTTTGTTACGTTGCCAGTTCCCCCGAAGTTCCTCGGGTCCCCCGCTTCCTCAATGGTTCCCTGGGGTCCTCGGGTTCCACCTGTTTCTCGGGTTCCCCGCCCCTGGTGCCACGTATTCTTTCTGTGCCCGTTTGAAGCAATGCCAAGCAACGGCAGGCAATGCCAAGCAATGCCAAGCAATGCCAAACCATTCCCAGCAAGTCCAAGCATTTCCAAGAAATGCGAAGCAACGCCCAGCAATGCCAAACAATACCAAGCAATGCCGAGCACTGCCAGGCAATGCCAGTCAATGCCAAGCAACACCAAGCAATGCCAAGCAACGTCAAGCAATTCGAAGCGATGCCAAACAGTGCCAAGCAATGCCAAGCAATGCCAAGCAATGCCAAGCAATGCCACAGGAGGAGGGGGATGGGGTGGAGAATGGGGGAGAGGAGGAGGTTGAGGGGGGAGGGAGGGCAATATGATGAGCAGGGGCCCCCGAAGGGCGTCTTTCCTGGCCCCCGCGTCGTGTTGCGACGGCTTCGGGGCCCAAGAGGGCCCCCAAAGGCCGAGGGCCGCCAAGGACGTCCAGTCGCGATGGGAACTTGAACACCCGCGGCCAAGATGGCGCAGCGCCTTCGCAATAGCGTTACCCAGGCTCTGCTTCTCGGACGAGGAGGAGGAGAAGGAGGAGGAGGAGGAGGATGGCGGAGAAAGAGGAGAAGAAGGAGGAGGGGAGGGAGAAGGGAGGAGGTTAGATGCCGAGGAGGAGGAGGAGGAGGAGGAGGAGGAGGAGGAGGAGGAGAAGGAGGAAGAAAAAAAGGGAGACCGAAGAGAGGAGGAGGGAGGTCAAAAGAGGAAGAAGAGGAGGAGGCGGAGGAGGAGGAAGAGGGGGATGATTTTCGGCGGCGAACACAAAGTGCTAGTCCTCGAGTAAAAACGGAAGAAATATCGAGCGGGAGCGTCGTTGTTGTAGGGTTGGGCCGTCCGCGGCTCTGAAGTGAAAACGCCGTCCTGAGTAGAAATCAAAGAAATATCGAGCGGGAGCGCTGGTTTTGTTGGAGGGCCGGTTTTCGGCGGCGAGCAACATGGCGCCAGTCCTAAACACAAAGCAAGGAAATATCGAGCGGAAGCGCTGGTTTGAATGGAGAGCCCATTTTCGACGGCGGGCAAAAGCGCCAGTCTTAAGAAAACTGGAGGCAGCATCGACCGGCAACTTCGTTGTTTGGTCTTAGCTGCGGCGCCAAAGCGGGAGCGCCGGTCCTGAGTAAAAAACAAGGAAGTATCGAACAGGAACGCCAGCTTTGTTGGAAAGGCGGCCTTGGGCGGCGAGCAAGAGGCCCGGCTCTAAGTAAAACCGGAGGAAGTTTCGAGCCAGAACGTTGTTGTTGAACTCTCACTTCTGAAGAATAGATAATGTTGATCCCCCCCGTCTGGTACACATTGTATTTGTTCAACTGAAGTGCCTTTCCTGTGGCTCGCACCCCGTTTTTTATTTGGGGGGATCTTGAACGTCAAACTGCGCCCCTGGCCCCCGAGTTACAATATCAACGTCTCCCGCCTGATACTTCCTCACAACTTATTGGAAAACAAATCTCGTTTGAGGCCCCCGTCCAATTTATTCCGGAATCGCGCTCTCGCGCTGGGTTTCCATAGAATCTATTCAAGGGCCGCGCCCCCGACACTCAGGAATCACGCTCTCGCTTTGGCTTATCTCACGATTTATTGGGAATCGCGTAATCGCTCGGGAACTCTCCGCGATTCATGCACGACACACGCTTCAGCAACCCGCCTGCTCGACCTGGCCGCCATTATGCTCCTACCTCCAACCCCCCTCGTGGTACTTTCTCTCTCTCTCTATATATATATAGATATAGATCTCTCTCTCTCTCTCACTTTCTTTCCCTTTCTCTCTCTCTCTCTCTTTCGTTCTCTTTCTCATGTTCCATCCTCCTTCTTCCCCCTCTGTCCCTTGCATCCATGCGCCCACTCTTCCCGGCCGTAGGGGCTGCATGAAATACACGCTACTGGTAGCAAAGATATACCCCGAAGGGGAGACGATCGAAGACGAAAATGGCGGGTATCGAGGGCTCGGGACATACGTGTTGAATGGCACACGAGCAGATGAGAGCGAACAGTCTTAGAATGAGTGGTGTTGTCGTTTTTGTTGTTGGTGCTGCTGTTGTTGTTGCTGATGTTGTTGCTGCTGCTACTACTGATGTTGCTGTTGATGCTGATGTTGAATGTTGTTGCTGGTGTTGGTGTTGTTGGTGTGGTTGTTGTTGTGGCTGTTGCTGGTGTTGGTTGTGTTGTTGGTGTGGTTGTTGGTGGTGCTGTTGTTACTGATGGTGCTGCTGATGTTGTCGTTGGTGTTGTTGTTGTGGTTGTGGTTGGTGTTGTTGCTGTTGGTGTAGATGTTGGTGTTGTTGTTGCTGCTGTTGTTGTTTCCGTCCCCGCCAGTGGTGCAACGTCACCCGCTTCCCTGTCTTCAACGGCGGCCTCTGGAGTCGGTGCTCCACACGGCTCGCCCTCGATGTCCTGGGGCGCCGTCGCCAACCCGCCAGCGCAGGCCTCGAGGGCCGCGTAGGTCTCGACTGTCAAGCTCGCCGCTATCTGCACCGAGAAGTTCTCCTTCTGCATCAGCCAATTCGCCAGGTCCGGGATGGCCGCTGACTCGTCCAGCGCTACGTGGGACCTCCGTGAACGTAGCAGCTCCGCGAACCGCGAACTGCAGCTGGAGCGTGGTCACGACTGCACGGCATGTCCTTGCGCAGGTGCCCGCCCCTCGCGGCGACGACCTGCCCAGGTAATCGCGGTCACTCTTCGACACCCCCAACACCGCCCTGGTCGAGGGGATTATCGCCCGCCCCGAATGCGCTGTCCGGAAGCCCACGACCTCCTCGGAAAGGAAGCACTCGACCTCCTCCCCACGCACGCCGCTGCCTCCCGCATCGTCCGGAGCACCTCCTGACTCGCTGCGGGCACCTCGGTGTACCTGGCGGGCTTGTGGACAACCACCAGCCCTACGCCGTCGCACCTCGGCAGACAGCAAGCCCCCCCCCGAAATTGGCGATCTCCTGCCACTGATCGAAACTTGTCTAGATCCATGCTAGGTCCAACATGTAGCACACGCGGGACACCACGAGCGGCAGAACCGGCATCTTGCGCCCTGCTCCGCTAGTCCCCGTGCGTCTGTCTCAGCGTGGCCGTCAGCCTTCTGTCCACGAAAGCGAAGCGCTGCGGGAAAAACCACCTGCGGCCGTCCCAGCGCAGTACCGCCCACCCCCTGACGAGACGAAGCCACGACACCCGGCGCAGGTACGACGAGAGGCCGTCGTCGATGAACTCTGGGGCTCCGATGACCGCGCCTGGAAAACGCGCTGCCCTCGTCGTCGGTCCCTTGCCCACGCTGGGGAGCATCTCAACGTTCGCGACGGCCAGCTGCGCTTCCGGCCGAGCGGAGAGCCTGCCGCTCGCATCGAATCGACAGCCGCGACCCGCTCCGCCCAGATCAAGGCGCGCAGGGTCTGGTTGGGCACCGTCGGCCCACACAGCTCGGCCGCCACGGCGTGCACATAGTCGATGAAGTGCACGTTCGCTACGGGCCACGAGACCCCGCGCGCGCAACAGCCACCTGAGCATCGTCTCCATGGCCTGCACGTGCGATCTCACCGCGTTGATGCGTGCGCGGCACGTCATGCCGTCCTTCGCCCGCTCCGGCTCCAAGCAGGCCTGCGCCGTCTCGGGCGAAGGCGCCCACATCTCCTCGAACAGCCCGATTCTGGCCATCGCTTGGACGTCCATTCCCTGTGAATGTGCTGTTTTCGTGCGTTTTTTTTTTCGTCGATGGCCCAGGATGTTCCTCGATGGCCCCCGCCGACAAAAAATGCACACGTCCGAGCGATGCCAAGGATTAGGCGAGCCTTCCACCTAGTCCACTTCTGCACCTCTTGCCCGCGACGGTTCTCTCCCGCGGCCGCGCGGCACCTCCGCGCGAAGCGGGCCCCGTCCATCGCGCGTGCCCCTGGCAAAGCGGGGCCTCGACCGCGCCCAGGTCGTCCACCAATCGGAAGCACGCCGCGGCATCCTCCAGCATGGCGCGCTCAGGGCAGCCGGGGCACGCTTTCAGACGCTTGCCTGCGCGGGTTCCTCAGCCACGGCCCGACCCACGAGTTCCCTCAGCGACTGCCGCGCATCCTCCACGCCAAGGTCCGCGGCCTCCGCCACCTGCACGGAGAGTCCCCTCGAATTTGGCTTCCGCCGTCTGCAGCGCGAAGTGCGGGGCGAGGTCGTACTCGTGCGGCACCTTGCTGACCCGCCGCCGCACGGCGTCAAAGGCGCACGGCCCAAGGAACAGCATCTGCGCCAAACCGTTGTTCAAAATCGGCCGTGCGCCTGAGCCCACATGGCCACAAGCATCGGGCTGAGTGACAAGACGCAGATTCGTCTTGGCACACGGGGAAATACGTACATATCGGAGGTTAGGAGCTGTGAAGAGAGGTCACCCCAACCGGGAAATCGGTTTTGGTTTCGGTTCGTGTCGTGCGTGCGGGCGAGGCGAAGCTGCGCGAGTTCCTGCACTTGTAAGGAGGCCGCGTGGCACCCAAAGGGCGCCCGCCCCACCCCCCCCGGCCGGGCGCAGCCCCAAATGGTTGTCCCGCGGGTTGTCCAGGTTGTCCCGATGGTTGTCCCGACGGCTGTCCCGACGGTTGTCCCGATGGGTTGTCCCGATGGTTGTCCCGATGGCTGTCCCGATTGGTTGTCCCGATGGTTGTTCCCATGGTTGTCCCGATGGTTGTCCCGATGGTTGTCCCGATGGTTGTCCCGATGGTTGTCCCGACGGTTGTCCCGATGGTGTTGTTCCGATGGTGTTGTCCCGATGGTTGTCCCGATGGTTGCCTCTATAGGTGTCCCGATGGTTGTCACGATGGTTGTCCGAGTGGTTGTACCGATTGGTTGACCCGATGGTTGTCACATTGGGTGTCCCGATGGTTGTCACGATGGTTGTCCCAATGGTTGTACCGATGGTCGTCCCGATAGTTGTCCCGATTGTTGTCCCGATGGTTGTCCCGATGGTAGTCCCGACGGTTGTCCCGATTGGTTGTCCCGATTGGCTGGCCCGATTGCTTGTCCCGATGGTTGTCCCGATTGGTTGTCCCGATGGTTGTCCCGATAGTTGTCCCGATTGGTTGTCCCGATTGTTGTCACTATGGTTGTCACGATGGTTGTCCCGATTGCTTGTCCCGATTGTTGTCCCGATGATTTTGTCCCGATGGTTGTCCCGATGGTGTTGTTTCGATGGTGTTGTCCCGATGGTTGTCCCGATGGTTGTCAGAATGGTTGTCCCGATGGTTGTCACGATGGTTGTACTGATTGTTTGACCCGATTGTTGCCCGATTGGTTGTCCCGATGGTGGTGTCCCGATGATGGTGTCCCGATGGTGTTGTCCCGATGGGTGTCCCGATGGTTGTCCCGATGGTTGCCCCGATGGTTGTCCCGACGGTTGTCCCGATGGTTGTCCCGATGGTTGTCCCGATTGGATGTCCAGATGGTTGTCCCGATGGTGGTCCCGATTGGTTGTCCCGATTGGTTATCCCGATGGGCTGTCCCGATGGTTGTCCCGATGGGTTGTCCCGATGGTTGTACCGATTGGTTGTCCCGATGGTTGTCCCGATGGTTGTCCCGATGGTTGTCCCGATGGTTGTCCCCACGGTTGTCCCGATTGGTTGTCCCGATGGTTGTCCCGATTGGTTGTCCCGATGGTTGTTCCGATGGTTGTCCCGATGGTGTTGTCGCGATTGGGTGTCCCGATGGTTGTCCCGATGGTTGTCCCGATGGTTGTCCCGATGGTTGTCCCAATGGTTGTCCCGATGGTTGACCCGATGGTTGTCCCGATTGGAAGTCCCGATGGTTGTCCCGATGGTTGTCCCGATGGTTGTCCCGATGGATGTCCCGATGGCTATCCCGATGGTTGTCCCCATGGTTGTCCCCAAGGTTGGCCCGACGGTTGTCCCGATGGTTGTCCCGCTGGTTGTCCCGATGGTGGTGTTCCGATGGTGTTGTCCCGATGGTTGTCCCGATGGTTGTCAGAATGGTTGTCCCGTTGGATGTCCCGATTTGTTGTCCCGATGGTTGTACCGATTGGTTGGCCCGATGGTTGTCCCGATGGTTGTCCCGACGGTTGTCCCGATGGTTGTCCCGATGGTTGTCCCGATGGTTGTCCCGATGGTGTTGTTCCGATGGTGTTCTCCCGATGGTTGTGCCGATGGTTATCCCAATGGGTGTCCCGATGGTTGTCCCGATGGTTGTCCCGACATGTCCCGATGGTTATCCAGACGGTTATCCCGACGGTTGTCCCGATGGTTGTCCCGATGGTTGTCCCGATGGTTGTCCCGATGGTCGTCCCGACAGATGTGCTGGTGGTTGTCCCGATATTTGTCCCGATGGTTGTCCCGATGACTGCCCCGATGGTTGTCCCGATGGTTGTCCCGATGGTTGTCCCGATGGATGCCCTGATGGTTGTCCCGATGGTTGTCCCGATGGTTGTCCCCATGGTTGTCCCGATGGGCTGATTGTCCCGATGGTTGTCCCGATGGTTGTCTCGATGGTTGTCCCGATTGGTTGTCCCGATGGTTGTCCCGATGGTTGTCCCGATGGTTGTCCCGATGGTTGTTCCGATGGTTGTCCCGATGGTTGTCCCGACGGTTGTCCCGATGGTTGTCCTGATTGGTTGACCCAATGGTTGTCCCGATGGTTGTCCCGATGGTTGTCCCGATGGCTGTCCCGATGGTTGTCCCGATGGTTGTCCCGATGGTTGTCCCGATTGTCCCTATGGTTGTCCCGATGGTTGTCCCGATGGTGTTGTTCCGATGGTGTTCTCGCGATGGTTGTGCCGATGGTCGTCCCAAGGGGTGTCCCGATGGTTGTCCCGACATGTCCCAATGGTTATCCCGACGGTTGTCCCGATGGTTATCCCGACGGTTGTCCCGATGGTTGTCCCGACGGTTGTCCCGATGGTTGTCCCGATGGTTGTCCCGATAGATTTGCTGGTGGTTGTCCCGATATTTGTCCCGATGATTGTCCCGATGGTTGTCCCGATGGTTGTCCCGATGGTTGTCCCGATGGTTGTCCCGATGACTGTCCCGATTGTTGTCACTATGGTCGTCACGATGGTTGTCCCGATTGCTTGTCCCGATTGTTGTCCCGATGATTTTGTCCCGATGGTTGTCCCGATGGTGTTGTTTCGATGGTGTTGTCCCGATGGTTGTCCCGATGGTTGTCAGAATGGTTGTCCCGATGGTTGTCACGATGGTTGTACTGATTGTTTGACCCGATTGTTGCCCGATTGGTTGTCCCGATGGTGGTGTCCCGATGATGGTGTCCCGATGGTGTTGTCCCGATGGGTGTCCCGATGGTTGTCCCGATGGTTGCCCCGATGGTTGTCCCGACGGTTGTCCCGATGGTTGTCCCGATGGTTGTCCCGATTGGATGTCCAGATGGTTGTCCCGATGGTGGTCCCGATTGGTTGTCCCGATTGGTTATCCCGATGGGCTGTCCCGATGGTTGTCCCGATGGGTTGTCCCGATGGTTGTACCGATTGGTTGTCCCGATGGGCTGATTGTCCCGATGGTTGTCCCGATGGTTGTCTCGATGGTTGTCCCGATTGGTTGTCCCGATGGTTGTCCCGATGGCTGTCCCGATGGTTATCCCGATGGTTGTCCCGACGGTTGTCCCGACGGTTGTCCCGATGATTGTCCTGGTGGTGGTCCCGACGGTTGTCCCGATGGCTGTCCCGATGGTTGTCCCGATGGGCAGATGTGCGCGACAAGGACAGTTGAAGAAACCACCAAGAAACCCAGAGCCATTGCAAATCGACCGCCTCCCCCTTCCCCCCCAACCTCCTTATGTATACAAATATACACACACACACTCACCTCTGGAATCGCGGCCCTGCGCGCGGCGACAGGGCG